TTTGACACGGATTCCGAATATGATATTTTTATTGCATGAAGGGTGAGTTCTGATGGAGAAAATTGCGAATTAGGTATAGAATTCTGATTTTTCCCAGTAAAGTCGACTTTTCTCAGTGAGAGAACAAAATTTTATAAAGGCCACACATATTTTTGTTGACTGTCGATGAGCGAGTCGAATGATAGGTGAATATTGGGAAAAACGTTTCAAACAAAAGACTACATAGGCCTGCAGGAAGCGCGTGTCACTCTGCCTCTAGTCGAGCTTGCCGAGGAAGAGAACAGTGATCAAATACATCCGAATCTACATACTCTTACTCAGTTTTTGATGCTGAATCCGAATAAAATAGTTTCAGAAAAGTAGAATCAGTAGTGATGATCTTAAAGTCTCCCGTCTCTGACAAGAATTTTATAATTCCTGTAATGATGTTAGAGGTCCCTGGCAATGATCTTAAAATATCTTAAAGATAGAACTACATTACAAAAAGAAAGGAGTTGTAAAATTAATTCAAATTGCAGTGTAATATATTTTATGTTAGTGTGCAGTTCCTTATTTATAATATAGAAAATTGCCCAAGAATTAATAATACAAATTCTGAATCTATAGTTCAGAGCAGTTTCATATTTTAGCCCTGATCAACACTACTCTGACAAGATTTTGTACAACAATCGGTAGCAGGTCCCAGTATAATCGTTAGAGCATTTGACTGATTGATTTGATTTTAGCAACAACAAAATGTTAGTATGCATAGAAAAAAATTAGAAAAAAACTGTTTTTATTAGTATACAACAATCATAACCGTAAAAAGTCAAGCCTTGTTATTTGAAAAGCAGTAAAAGTGAATTGTACTTATAGGCACTGATTTAGTCAAATGATGGACTTTGTAAATTTTTTGGCGTACGGCGGAAGATACTTCTTTAAATTGGCTATACATGGCACTTAATCATTGCCGTCAAGTTTCAACTAGATATTCTACTGGCGGTTTCCATTTTAGTTTACAATTTATTTCTAACTCAAGAAGTATGGTCATATTGCCAGGAGAAACTTATGTACCATCTCTTAAAGTAAACTGAAAAATACCAGCTCACTGTTGATCTCACTATTTGAAACAAAACTCCATGCACATTTAGAAGCGTTTAGCGACATTAATTAGAACTACACCAGTCACATATTTTATTGATATTATTCTAGCAGAACTGAGATAAATAGGTTGATGTTACGGTTTACTCTCAGTTCGTCCCAAATTGACTTCTCAATTCGTCCCACGAAGCTTTTTTTCTCAGTTCGTCCCATCAACATTTCTCTCTCAGTTCGTCCCATATCAGTTTGCAACACACGACCAGTTGCAAGACCAGGACTGGCAACTCTTGCTCTGACGACCTCTTGTGAATATATTTTTGGAATAGGTAGTGTTTCCTCTCTTGCACGTTTTTTCATATTATCAACAGCAATATCGATGAGGACTTTGGTGGTATCTGGTTGGCATGTGTGCGCTGATTCATTCCGTAAAATTCTCACATCGTCTGTACATAATGATATTGTACTTGAACATGTTCGATCCCGACACCGCCATTCATTATTTGTTTTGTTTGCTCGTTTTTTGGTGTATTGATACCCATTATGATTCAAAACTGGTTTGTCTTTTTCAGTAGACGTGAAAATTAACATTTTGATGAACAAAACAGTTTAACTTATTTAGATTTAAATTTGTGATAGTAGTGGCTAACACGACACATTTTGCCACGTACGCGCACCTAGTCTTGTGTACAATACCCATCGTCGTCGTCTAAACTGTTCGATGGTATTTTGCTACGTACACGGACCTTGTATTGTCTACAATACCATCGCCGTCGACTAAACGATGGTACAACACTTTATTTATTTTTAGGCGCAAATATAAATATCTAGGACGAATTGAGAAAAAAATATATGGGACGAACTGAGAGAGAAGTGTTGATGGGACGAACTGAGAAAAAAAGCTTCGTGGGACGAATTGAGAGGACACCTTCGTTTCGCACCTTTTCTTCTGCGAAACCTAAAATGATTTAGAAATGGTTACACTTCTCTATATCCTTTTAGGTTTAGTACACAAACTTTTACAGAAAGGTGAGTTTAAACTCTTTTCCATATGGAAAAGTTTATATGACTTTTTTCAAAATGTATATCATTCATATTCGTTCATTGCGCAATTTTCGTTTTCTTCTAAAAATAAAGTATTAGGTTTCTTCAACGCTTAAACTGTTAGATTAAAATTCTCAAGTACTTGCTTAAGTACTGTTTGCTCAAATACTGCTTAAGTACTGTTGCTTAATTGTGAGTTCGTCTCCTGTATGCATTCTCACATGCTCTTCCAATCAAATGTTCATAACACAAAAAAATCAATGAGTTTAAACATGCGGTCAAATGTTCAAAACGACAATATTAGCTGTCAAAGATATGAGATATACTTTCTGTGATGCAACATCATACCGTGATTGTTGTTCATACCTTTATTTTAATGACTGTAAGATAAAAGCACACAATGCGACCGATTTTAGCCATTTAAATCATTTTTGTTGAATTTACTGTTTCAGTAAAAATATATACGTATATTTTTAAACAAATTGCGTATGACACAGTAAGCGTTTTTCAACAACTGTGGATACAAATAAAACCCGATGATTCTTAGTTTGTTATTAAAAGAATTCTATATCTTAGTCAATAAATTTGTAATATTTTTCTAAAACTTTCATTCGTTTGCAAAAACTGTTAATGGATGCTCAACTTATTTTGAATGTAACAGTAATATATATCTGATAAGGTATCATAATCTGAAACAAAACTGTTCTACATACGAAAATTCACTGAAGCTTCTAAAGTGTAATGCCGTCTCTCTCTAGATTATATGTATTATATTATACAAATTTCTTGTACGTTTCAAGTTGAGAAGATAAGAAAACTTTTTTTTATTAAAAATCTAAAATCATTCGAGTGAAAAGAAAGCGGAAAATCATTATCATCATGGATATTTGAATGGCAAACATTGAATAAATAACAAATCATTGAAAATAGAAAGTAGATTAGCAATATACACGAACATATATGATTGAAAAATGATCAAAACAACGGTTATCACTTTCCGTTTTAAATATATTTGCATTTCTAGAGAGTTTGCTCCTGGCACTATAATCTTTTTTAACGTCACCTATAAAGTATAGCCGTATATAAAGTATTTTAGTGTTAAAGGACAGTGATCTTGAGGAATATTGATGATAGAATAGCTGCTGCTTTTTATGTAGCAAATTGTTGAGAGATATCGCCAAAGTATCTAGAACTGCTTTCTTGCTACTTGCATATGGTTTAGAGACCGAAACGGGTCAGGTCGAGTCGAATTTGGGTCACGTATGGATAACCCGTTTCGGTCTCTGATATAGTTCATGTAATAAAATGCGTGTAAATACAAATTCTCGCAATTGGTTTTATTAGCCGAAAAATAAATCATACATCTATTCATACTTTTCAAAAAAATTCTTTTTATGGTATCGGAACAAGACAAATAGCATGTCATATAACAATTAGACGAGCAATTGTGTTGGAACATAATTTGGTTTTTGTCATAAAAATAATAATAAGAGAAATCACTTTACATATAGTGATCAGTTGAGAAGAAAATGTCACTTTGACAGTTGAATGGCTGTTTTGTACAGTTACTTTTGTGATATCAGAGCTCATTTAGTTAATAGTTGCTTAAACCAAAATGCAGAGAATCTTGAAAACTATATCGTCATTAAAAGTATTGTACAAATGTTGAAAGATTTCAAGCCATCGAACGATAAACTATGAGCTATTTGATAATAGTTGAATAGTATTTTTAAATAAGCTGCCAAAGATTAGGTTTTATAATGATATATTGACTCTAATTTGTTTCATTTGTAACACTTATCTCTTGGTTATTTTCTCTCTAGAGCTCTCTCTCTCTCTCTCTTAGTCAAATCGATATTTTTATACGTATCCATTCTTATTGTTCTTTATTTATTTATTTACTCAACAAAATAGATGTGAAGTTTGACAGATACATTAGAATATCTTATGCTAATTTATTTCTTTTTTATACATTGTCGTTGGAGTCACGCCTTCATAATTCACATTCTATTGTTTTGTTAATCCTCTCTCTCTACTTAAATCCAAATATAAACGACGTCTTGCGATTACACGTGACCTATACAAGGAAAAAGAATAACTCACCGCTCCATTCAAATAAAGAAAATTAATAATTTAGGTAATTATTTGAAACGGATGGATAAATTTCCGTTTTAGAAGAGCTAGTGTACATTGTGCACACTATTGTTTTTATTCAAGTAACTTATTCAGTCTGACTATACTTAACGATGCAATGGTGCAAATAAATTGTTTGAACTAATGCGTAATAATCAGTAATAAATCTGAAATTAAACACTTATTCTTTCATTCAATTTATTCACTCACAGTAAGTCTGTTCTCTTTCTATCGTCCAATCTAAGCAGTTTTTTGTGAAATTATTTATTCATGTTAAAAATGTTTTAATTAATCAGTTCAAAAAATGGTATTGATGCTTTAGAAGAACAAGTCAAAAACATGATAGTCTACATGTACATGATTGACTTCACAACAATCTACTTAAATATGACAAATCCTCATCGTTCAACCATATATTGAGGTCAAAAATTTGTGCATATGCTTTTTGTGTCAAAAATAAGAGAGAGAGAGAGAGAGAGACATACAGAGATCATCCAGCACTTCTACAATGTATCGGCATTTGTCAACAAATTGAATTTAGACCATTAGTTACACTATAAAACTCGTTTAATCAACCTGTTCAAGTATTCTATATAGCCATTTAAAGCAAAGAGAGAGCAATTTGCATAATTAAATCAACTTCACGTCTCTTCATTTTATTGGGAAGAAAAAGGATAAATGAACTTTGTAAGTGTTTCGAAAACTATCATCCAATCCATTTTCTTCTTCTCATTCTACTCATGAGTGAAAGAGAGAAAAAGAGAGAGAGACAGAAAGCAAGAGAGAGAAAGAGGTGTTAATTTTTTACACAAATAATAACCAATAGGAAAATGTTGCTTTTTCTCTTCCATTCTCCAGTAAACTTATTTTCCGACGCAGAGCAAAAGAACAAATATAAAGAAGTAGACTCATCAATCTAAAATGATTGTCACGCAATAGGACACATAATTAGAGAGTGTCTTAGGATGAAATGCTTATTTTTTATGATGCACGCATCGCTATATATACAGAAGAGATAAGAAAACAAAAGAGAGAAGGTAAAATAAGCTAATGAAGCATGTTCTGAGATTTAATAATTAACAAGATAAGATACATACAAACAGTGATAACCATTGCGGATGTCAAGTGGATTGAAAATTGAATAGATCAAAACTCATATGTTATATGAGATTTGAAACGAGTAGTAAATTTTACTACATCAAATTATTTTTCCCTAGGTAACTAATACAACTGAAGGATGATGAATACAGGAGTTTTTCAAAACTGGATTTTTGCATTGTAATCTGGTTTAACAATAACAACTACTGGAATATGAATGCATTGCTTTCCCTATTAGGCTGACGACTATACGATTTTCGATGAGAAAGTTGAATTTTTTTCACATCATCTACAATTATCGAAATTTTATTTCTAATAATTCTAAGTGCTTCAGTTTATTCATTCATTCATTCAACATTGTTCAACGTTATCTATCAGTTTTAGTTTTACTTTTTTTGTTATTGAACTGAATGACTTCAGAAAAGATGAAACGGTTGTAGAAACCTTAAAAATGTGAGATAGTATATAACGAGTAACAAAGTATAGTAAATATCATTATTGAGAAAAATTGTTCCTGAAACGTATCATTCTTCTAAGAGATGCTGTGCCTGTGGTAGAACAAAAAGCCAATCTTTCTGCTTTTTACTGTTTAGTCCAAGAGTAGAAGTAATTTACTCCGATTTTCTAAAATATTTAACTCGAAATTAGAAGCTACTCCTACATTTCTCTCATTATAAAGCGTTTTATTTCTATTATGAAAAATTATTGAGCACAAAATTTTCTAAAATTTGTACTTTGGATAGTCAAATGGCTCTCTGTTTATCCCTCCACTTTTGGTATTTCATGCCGCCTCTCGTTCTTCTACAATCAAAATCATTACACATACATTTTTCAAAAGCTATTTCTCCTTTAAACTCAAGACATACACTCCATGAATGATAATAACAAACTTTTTTTCTTATGTATCGGTAAAGGTTATACCATTTGCTACTACAGAAATCTATTATTTATCATCATGTGCAAAAAATCATGTACGAAGTTATATTATAACTGTCAGATTATTCTGTCATTCGATTAACTTTCTTCTTCATCATTTACATGTCATGCAAATGAGTTTTTTTTAAACGTTTGGGCGTTGCCGTTATTATGTGCAAAAAAAAAAGAGAGAGAAAAAAGTCCGCCTTCATCTTATTACATCCTGTTTCGCTGCTAGTATATCTATCGAAAAGACGGAAAAAGAATTGATTGTATTAATCTTCACTTTTTCTACGCTACAGATATCGTTCCTAAATGGGAAAGAAAAGAAATGGTGGTAATGGCCAGAATATTTATTGTTTAGTATCCATTCTTTACTAAATCTTTTCCTCTAAAAAATAATACGTCATTTAGAAATGTTTCATTTTTTTTCATAGACCTGATACAACGTCAGTATTTTGCAATATATAATAATGTTAATAACTAGTAAAAGTGTTCAATATATCTTTAGGATACCTTATAACACTCCACTATCTATCTGTTACTATCTCAATCAGTGTCGATAGTAACACTCAATTTGCTCAAAAAGACATAAAGCAGTATAAGGGAATCAGAACAATCATAAAATGGCTCATTAAGTTTAAATAACAATTTGTAGTTATACAAAATCATGTGTAATTGTTTTTTAGGAGACATAATCTAAATCTCTATAGAAAAAATGTGTTTGTACACTATGTATTCAAATATATGACAGTTAAAATTTGACAATTTCTGACATTTGCGCTTAGAGTAAGGCAATATTTTGATTTTGATACGAAAATCTTATATGTATCAATTTTGATTAGACAGATATGACTTACGGTTGAATTTCCGATCTATTGTCATTTAGTTTTGCCAAGATATTAAAATCAACGGTATCTCCAAATAGTAATAGCACAAAATCAATTACTCTGAGCCACTTGTCTGTTGAAATAAACTAGGATATTTTTACCTCAATCAGACAGTAGTACCCTATGTAATCTACTTATATAAACCAGAATTGCTAGACCATTCGTTTATCAAATTCGTATGAGTAAATGATCAATTTTATATATCTTAGTCAAAAGCACACAACCAGTTCCTGCACTATTTAAACTCAATCGTTTTTGATATTATTAGTTAAAATGATGTATCGATTGAAGCACTTTTAATAACTGGCTTATGGTTTTAACACATGAAAGTTGAATTGTTTACAGGGTTAAAGATATTCTAAAATCGTTACTTTAGTTTAATAATATCTGTTTTATCACCATCTCTCTATTTTTACAAGCAAATATTAACCGTATCGATGATAAACTATTATCGAGACGTAAACTATACAACTACTGTGTTCGTTTCACATCTTCTTTATTATTATATTGACTCTTATTCTACCCTTTCTTTCTCTTTAATTTTTCAATCATCACTTGATGATTAATTGATAAGGATTATTTGTAGTGACGTATTATTCGTGTACAATCACATCCTAGATCATTCAACAACACTAATTTATACAATGTACACATAATAATAAAGTCATTTGCCTTTGAATGATTGAACTTTCTTTTCTATTACACACACACACACAATTTAATAGAGAGATAATCTATTTTCATTGTCTGTATTTCTAGTTTACATAGACTCACTATCGTAGATATATTCGACAGAATTTCTATGTGTCGTTCTTCCCGACTGAAAGTATACTTGTCGAAACACTGGACCTTTTTTTTACTAATAAGATTAGCTCGTTACTTATTGAAAAATGTAAATATGGATACAAGGGAAAAGGCACTATATATTGCTCGCCATTTTATCTTAGGTAAAACGTGATCAACTACGATGTACATTGAATCGAATAACGATAACATTCAGTTCTTTTCTTTAATAGCCGGAAATTTAAAGTCTGCACCTGTAAAAAATTAACTATCTATTCTCTGGATATCACGCAACAATAAGATATCAAGGTGATATATTGGTGATCTTTTTTATAATGCATCAGTTTCTAAAGATCCATCTACTCGTCTGCAAATTGAGCGCCGGTACTCTTTTCAAGTTGTTACCATAAACAAAAGTGGTATGACTGAGGACATATTATTAGATGACTCACTCTCATGTCTTGTGTTCCCTCCAACCGTCATGATAAAGTGTTATACGGACAGAAATATCTTAAAATCTGCACTCTCTATACAGATCCAAGGGTTTTCGAAAGTTCAAGTACGCTACGTATATTCCCAAATACGAAAAATAGTTTTCGAGATTATTCTGAATACGGAAAACAGTTTTCGAAAGGATTTTCGAAGCGTTTATGGTTTTCTAGTATACGCTTTTTTTTAGAGTGTACCGCGATGCACTATTGCTTTTGACACATGATTTATGATTTTAATATAAAATATGTGATCTCTTTATCTTGTAGAAGAAAACTAAACTACACTAAAACTATGTTTGTTGGGAAGAATACATATTCGTGGAAGGGTAGTATTACGGTTTCTGAAAGATAACTTACCGTTTTTTTCCACTACAAAGTAATGGATACGGAAAGCAGTCAAACCGTTTTCTTATACTTTAAGAAAGAACCTACGTTTCATATAAAAAAAGCTCGAGACTTAATTAGTGGTTTGTTAAAAATAATGGTGGTTATGATGACAGATCTAACAATGTACAATAAACGCTTGATCCTTCATCAGTCATCCATCCTACAGCTATCACTTTTGCATGTTTCTGTCTGTGACTTCTATTTGTACATAAAATAAAACGCTTCTATCTAACCGTTGTTCTTGCTCTTTTTCTTTTTCTGCTAGTATAAATCAACTCTCTCTCTTCTTTTGTACGCTGTCCGATTACATAGAACTATGCTCTGTTCTCTTTCTTAGCATCTCTATATACGGTAACTGTATTTGTTATTCAAATAGGATTGGCTGTGAAAAAAAGTCTGGCCAATATTTTCATTGATTAACAAACACATAGAAAAATTACCATACAGCGGAGAGCGGGGAAAAGCGCAGAAAAAAGAGAATGTTGATTAGTTCAAAAGAAAAAATCTTAACACAGTAGTTTACTTTCATGCGCAAAAAGAACGGAAAAGAAACTGGAATATATTATTTATTATAAAAAGAGTGTTATAATAATAAAAAACTATATAGTGTCACTATCATGTGTCAGTATCAATCAAAAAATACGTATAGAGAGCGAGTAGAACAAGAAGAGAAGAAATAAGTGTTACTGAGCATGAAAAAAGAAAAAGTGAAACGAACGTCAAAAGAAAATCTGTAACTCAACTTGTTATGTACGGATGAGACTCGAGAATTGAAGAACGAATAGAAATTTAGTATAGAGAGAAAGAGAGAAAGAGAGAGAGAGAGAGAGCGTATGTGTCACCGAAAGAAAAATTTTCGTCTGTGTATGGTTAATATGTGTGAACATGCGAGTTAGCAACTTTTTTTCTCGTCTCTTTCTCTACAATGAGAGTAATTGTTAAAAGAAATAAGAGTAGTAATACAAGTTGTCGAGTTTGGATTAATATTAAATAAGATAGAAGAAAAAAAATAATTGGTTGAGACCCGACACAAAAAAATTAAATCTCATTTGCAATCCGTGTCTGTGTGTGTATGCGAGCGAGTAACCGAAATAAATAATGTCAACAGCAACAATGAATTTTCATCAATTTCCATTATGGCCTACGTCCACATCCAGCTTACAATCTACAACAAAACCATCTGATTTTACTGTTTCATCACTATTGGGTGAAAACAGTTCAAATCCATACGTAAACCTTTTTAAATTTCCATTGACTTCAATGCGTCAACCACCTGGTCCACCTCTACCGCCACAACCCCCATCGTTTCGACTTGGAACAGTCCAAGATGATGGTGTTCAAGATGATCCAAAAGTTGAATTAGACGGAAAACAATTATGGGATCAATTTCATCAACATGGAACAGAAATGGTTATTACAAAATCAGGAAGGTAAACATTATGCTCATCTAGTACTTTTAGATGACTACTGTAAGAATTCAGTATACTGCAGCCTTTTTAATCACAATTCACGAATAATATATAAACTAGATTAAACTGCAGACATCAAAGAGATATTTAAAAATTTTAAAATTTAATTATTTAATAATCTTAGCAGCAAGTAACGTGGAGAATAAAAAGATCCTATGTTTTCCTGTGACATTGTAGAATGTATTTCAATTGACTTTTGACTTTTTTTGTTCTTAAAATTCTACGGTACCAATGGGAAAGTACAATTGTGTCTAAGTTCTATACACCATTCTCTAAGTTAGCTAGTTATCATGCAAAATTCAGCCAGTGAAAATCTTCGTAGAATAAAAATAATAAAAAATATTTATTAATAGTTGTTCAAAGTCTTTCAAAACCCTTTAGTAAAAATGATGCGCTTAAAGTGTATATATATATATATTATCATTTGAGAAAAACTTATTTTTTTGTTTGCTAGTCTATTTTTTTTCGTTCTCTATATTTTTCTTTTTTCTATGTCAAGTGTATAAGAGCCTATATTGAAAAAAGTAAAACTGCTAACCTTTTTTACATATCGAAATCACACATTATATGATTTTTTTAAAATACTTTCGATTACACACTAACACCACCCTCTTCCCTCACTATTGTTAAGTAGAAAAGGAAACTATTGGGCTTCTTATCGTTACATATACCATTTTAGTAGTGAATCTGACATATAAAAATATTTGTTTCTTTTTTCTTATTTGAGCGAATATAAAATGTGAAGAAAAAAAAATTATTCAAGCGCACACAAAGAGAATATTGATCTAAAGGTGTTTTGATAGGCAAAGCGGGTTGTTTTAATGGATGGAAAATTATACGTTAGATGAAAGTCGTTTTTGTGTTGTTTGTTGGAGTGGGAGGAGGAGGACAACAAAGTTACCTGTTAACAGCTTCTGATCGACTTTTGATGAAAAACAAATGAAATTTGTATTCGTATGGGGAAAAACGAGTGTAAAGTAGCACATTCTACAGGGAGATTAAAGAATCATTATTGCAATTCATCTTTATTTGTACAATATGAGTTTCTTAACTTTTCTTAAAATTCAAAAGTCTCATACTGTCCAACTGTATTTCGTTGTTATTAGTACTTTATTTTACTTGTATTTCTTTGCCTCATAGATGAATATCGTTTCTGGGAAAATTTTATCAAATTTCTATGCTTATTTCGTCATATAGCCTTTTCTAATGTTAACATTTGTTGCTGCTCTGATAAATACATTTGTATTCTAGTGTTTTTACGCATCCTAAACCCATCGAATAAATTATTTACAATGAGCTAGGCAACGAAACAGTTTGAATATTACTTTTCTTGAGTCAACCAAAGTGTCGGTGATTGTTTTTCTCTTTCTTTTTCATTTTGAAAAGAGAAAGAAAGTGCCGAAAACTATGAAATATTTTATTTCAAAAATATTTTTTTTCTTTTTTGTGTCTCGTATTTGATAAGTTTACTTTTACTGATGAAAGAAAAAGAATATCAAGTATATTTGGTTCATGTTGTTTAAGAAAAGAAACGATTCGAGTTTCAATATATCTTTATAAAATTCAGGGAAGAGAAAAAGAAAAGAAATCTTCGTTTTTCGATTCAATAAATGTATACATGTCTTTTTTACGGTGAATCGTATATCACCACTGTATGACTAGAACACGTTTGATCAATCAAAGAAAAATGAACACGAATTGGAATCATGTACATACACACGTTCCACTCTTATAAGAAAATTGATAACCATCTGCATTTTATAAACTGATAGTTGAGTTTGAACATTGTTTGGCACCAGTAAGAAGAGGATTAAGTTGAAATAAGTAAAGAGTAGACGGTACAAGTGAAACGGATGGTTAAGAGGGGTGCACCCTAACTCAGCTGATAGTAATTGAAAAAGTTGAAAAAAAATGTACTGATTCATCACATAAGTATTTTAACAAGATATGATTTACTAAAGGATTGACATTTTATCGAGAAAGTAAATTTTGTGAATCAAAGCCTTCGTTTTTAGTCATCAATTACAAAAAGAGAGAGAGAGAGAGAGTGATCCATCGATCGACAATTATAATGAAATGAGAAAGAGAGAAAAATAAAAGCGCTTTCTGGTTAATAACAAACATTGATGATGAGCGATGATAAGAGACATTTATTGTTTATATTGGATTATCTCTATTATATTTCATCACACAGCTAAAAATTGGGTGGAGTAAATTTGTTCAATCGTCATCTTTGTTACCGAAAAAATGGTGTTAACATATCCGTTGTCTTTATTGATTAAACGAAAGCGGGCCTTTCTATATTCAGTAAATATCTGTCAATTATGATGTAACAATTTTGAGTGTTGATAAAATAAAAAAATGTTTATCCGAATTTAAAAATGTATAAAAATAACATCTACTTTTATAAATTCAATAGAAAAATATTTCTTTCTCAAATCTGCCAAATCTTTAAGAAATTTTCAAAATTTCTATTGCATTTCTTCTAGTTGAAATAATAATTCTTCATTCTCTAGACAGAAAACAGATTTCAGTTTTTGTTGAGAGATTTGAACTGTGTCCATCAGTTTTTTGACTAACAATCGAATATTTACTATTTCTCTATTTTATATACTTGTAAATGTCTTCTATTGAGACATGATAAACACCGTAAAACACCCTTTGTACACGTTTTAAGTGGCAAATGATCTATTTTTTTTGTTTTTTAATGGATTTAATGGACAGCTGTGATTTTTGATTGATATCATTGTAAGAGAAAAATATTATTGCGACTTTTTGGCTAATGGGTTCGTTTTCATTATGATGGACGACAAAATGGTCATGTACTTCGTACAGAATAGACTCTATGCCAGATAAACACATTTCTTAACAACAAATTGTAAATGACACATCATCATCGAACATGTACACAAACATATTATAAACTACTTTTATTACAAAGATACCAACCTTTTTTTTGTGTATACATTAGTGGAAAAATGTTCAGCAATAATGTCTCATATAAGAAATTAATTTCTATAAGGTATATGTTAAAGAATAAATATATTGCTACTAATCGAAAGTATCACTCCCACTATAAATGATTTTCAAAGACTCTGTTGTTCATGAAGGAGATACCAGTTTCTTAGTGAGAAATTACATTTGATTTCACTTGTTGTTTTTTTTAGACGAATGTTTCCCGCTTATAAAGTGAAAGCATCTGGTCTCGATAAACGTGCTAAATATATCTTGTTAATGGATGTAGTAGCTGCTGATGATTGCCGTTATAAATTTCATAATTCACGTTGGATGATTGCTGGTAAAGCTGATCCTGAAATGCCAAAACGAATGTATATTCATCCGGATTCACCAGCAACTGGTGAACAATGGATGTCAAAAATTATATCATTTCATAAACTTAAATTAACCAATAATATATCAGATAAACATGGCTTTGTAAGTATATATATGATATATACATATATATGAACTCAATTTTATATTACACCTATTAAAGTTATTATCACCATGGTATAGGAGAAAAAGGTGAAATGTTAACCTTTGTGTGTGAAAATTAATTTTATTTTTAACTGTTAAACATCGAACCTTATACATGTTTCAATACACACACACACATAAAAGTATTTTCACAATACACTCTCCCTTATGCCCCAATTCACTTAACAACTTTGATAGTTTTTTGTGTCATGTTAATCACACAAAAACAAATAAAATTCTTCTTATTTCTTCAAAATTAGACAATCATGTTTCTCAGTTGTTTTTTATTTAGACTATTTTGAATTCAATGCACAAATATCAACCTCGTTTTCATATAGCAAGAACGGATACACTAGTAGATCTCGCCTGGTGTCCGTTTAAAACATTTTTATTTAATGAAACAGAATTTATTGCAGTCACAGCATATCAGAATGAAAAGGTTTGTAGTAAAAAATTTTGATTCTAAACATTTGATCCTTAAAAAATCATTTGACTAAAAAGAAAATATTCTTGATTTAGATTACACAGTTGAAAATTGATCATAATCCATTTGCTAAAGGTAATTCTCTATTTTTGTATCTATTTGTACAGAAAATTTCATTAATTTTCTTATTTTTCATAAAGGCTTTCGTGATAATGGTCAAGGAAAACGTGAAAAAAAGTATGTTAAAGATATAAATAGTTATAATTCAGAAATTAAATTTGTCACTTTTTATTATAGACGAATGACATTAAATGGTAGTTTAAATGATGGTTCTGATCCGCCACAATCGTTTATGGATGATTCTGAAGATGAAGATGTATGTGTAGATGAAACAGAAAATCAAGTGGTTGTTGATGATCAAGTTTTATTACAACATCATCATCATCAAAATAAACATGTTCCATCTCCGTATCATCATTCAGTTCATTCAGCTTTAATTCTTCGGCATCAACAACAATTACGTCATGCCTACGGATTACATCAACATATACTTTTACGAACAAATTACGAAAATCAATTACTAAATAATCATCAGCAAATGAGAATGAGTAAAAAACGTTTACATAGTAATGATGATGACGAAGATATAACAACAACAACAATAACAACAAATAACACAAATGAAAAACTAACAAAACGAATTAAACAGGAACGATTAAGTAATGATGGTAGTCAAGATGAATGTAAACTAAAAAGTCCAAATAAAATATCCCCCAATGAACTTCACCATGAACAAATAGCACTAAAAGTATCGTCAAACAGTGAAAAACCATCAGGTAAGAACAACGTTTAAAATTAGTAGAGTTTTAATATTTTAAACGATGTACTGATTTTTTTCCCGAACATGGTCTAGCTTCTAAATCATCATTTCGAATTGATGATGTTGTAAAACCAGATGTACTTTTAACCAATGGTCGTACAAATGAGCAAACATTACCATCCGGTATTGGTTCAAATTTATATTGGTATCTCTACGGTGGTTTGAGTCCACCTGAATGTCAAGCATGGTATGAAACATTATTGATGAAACAAGAACATCCGTTTGATCAGCGTCATCAATCACATCCATTACTATTACCAAGGCATCAACGACAACCGTCAACTACAGCAATTTCTAGCGGACTCATTATTCCTCAAGCACAACATCCATTTTCAAAATTATTCAATCGTCCACCATTGTTACCTATACCACGAATGGCATTGGCTGCTGCTGCTACTACAGCAACTACTTCTTTTCCTCCAGTTACAGATGAACTAAAATCATCCATTTCTTCTTGTTCGTCGCCACCATCCTCATCAGATCGTTCATCGGACACAGAAAGTAAATAAACAGTATTATGATTATTCTAATTAGGGTCAAAATTGGGCTTTTGGTCGTTTTTTTTAGTTTATTTCTGTTTCTTTCGTTCGTTCTCATATAACAGTGTTTACATACATATTTGTATTTTTTGTTTTCTGTTTATTGTATATTCCTTTCACATATAATCGCTCGCATATGGCCAAATCATACTATTACTACTACTACTACTACTACTGTTGTGTTGTTTGATCAAAAAGTAATCGTACATCCTATCGTCTACAGTCACTTGAATGGCTAACATAATAAAATTGTTGTGCATTTTGTGCAATGATTAAAGATGATTATTATCGATAACAAGATGTCTGCCAATAAGTTTTGACAAAAAATAGAGAGATACTAATTTAAGTTTATACAAGTGTCATCGGTATTTAATTATTTCTTTTCCTAAATATCGTTGTCAAAATTTTACGCTATCCAAGTTATTTCTTTCAAAAAAAGTTTGAGGAAAATTTCACACTCAACTAACTATTGAATGAAAAAACGTATATATTTCTTTACCTATGCAGTAATTTCGGTGGAAATAAGTTGTGATAAATAATTTCTCACCCGTTCAACACAGTTAAAATTGAAAGTTGTTTTCAACAATGATCAAGATTATATACATTTTCTGTATATAAAACTCAATTTTCTCCTCACACCCACCGTGATTTGTCGCCTGATATTATAGTTTTGAACTTATAATTGTTGTACAACGACGAAGACGACAATTATCGTGTCTACAGATAGATTACTAACGCCAAACTTTTTGTACTGAGATTATTTGTAATCAGGCAATTCTATTTCCACATCAATAAACAAGAGAGAAAGAGAGAAAAACACACACACAGTATCAGAAAACGATTAGTGGCACGCAATCAGAGTGAGCGATTGATTGATCAAATAATATAGTGAAAAAAATATGTTAGTATACCCTCATTTTTTCTGGTCTCATGTCAAAAACAAAAACTGTTGATGACAGCGTGTTAGAATAGCCAGTTGTTTTTTTTTGATGACGAGATGATAATTGAGAGAAAAAAAATGACTTTGTAGTGGTGCTGGAGATGATGATAATGATGATCGACATGAAATCAGAGAAACAGTTGACAAGAAAAATCATTGAACTATTTCAGATTTAAAATAGTTGCGAAAGGATCCGTATTGAAGATTAAAGTAGCTAACTTGGATGGAATGGAAAAACAAGGGACAGTCAGAAAATTTTTTCGATCTTTGCACCGTCTTCTTCTTCAGTAGACATGAAATCACTTTAGTATCTGTTAAACAACGGAGAAACGTAGTAGTATCAAACGAATGTTTTGCAAGGTTAAGTCGCATTAATGGTGATATACACACTAAAATTGATTAGTTGGCAGTGAAGAAGTATTAGTAATATAGGACTGGTAATATTTGAATTTGAGCTTGACAGACCATACAAACATTAGTAATTAATGCACTTGGAAAAGGAGAGATATTCTTTCAACAAAAATGATTGACACAGCACTACAGATGTCTTTTCCAGATTTTATATTTTGACATTTTGAGTTTTTAACTCCATTTTAAGAACATGTGTTTTTGATTTTTTTTTCTTTTTTCTGCCTACGTGTTAGTGTCCATATGTCGAAATGATCATAATCATCATTATAGAATTAGTTACTGTATACAGATATTGCTAAATAATCGACTGATTGGCGCTAATTGTTGTTGTCAATACTACGACAGTCGTACAGAACTTGTTCTTCTTCCTGTTTTTCTAGAAATTTATCCAGTTGACTTGTTTGAAAAGAGACCAAAATATCATCAAATGAACTATCATCAATATTCAAGAAATTTCATGTTATTCTTTTTAAAGAAAAAGAAAAAGAATGAGGGTTAAGTGATAATTCCTTATTAATTATTCATATCTCATCGTGATTTTATTAGTTAGAAGAAAAATCTTTACATGCATGCATACATACGTACACACACACATGTTTTAATTGTCATCAAAAAGTTAATAAAGGATAGACTGACTATACACGATAGAAAAATTGCAGAAAAGAGAGAAATAATTTCACTAAAACTTGCTCCCTTAACACATGAAAAGATACACTAGAAGTATCAAGTGCTGCTACAACAGTTTACTACTGCTATTTTAAGATTAATGTTGTTATGCTTCTATAATAAAATGTTATAAATTGTCGTCGTTTTTTAAGGCAGAGAGCTGGATGAATAACAATTAAAACAGAACAGGGATATAATGAGATATTGTTAATGATATTTCATTCGGTTGATCGATGAGAGAAAGAGAAAACATCAGTAATATAACAGTTTTTCTTATCTAATAGTTATTATTACACTACTCTAATGGTTAAAATGTTAGCCAATATTTTACTACTATTTACCATATTTGACTAACATAACAAATGCCCAGTTGACTTACCCTCGGTGGAAAAACATTATGTTCTTGCCTTAGTGTTGCATATGAAAACAATCTTTTATATACGATGATAGCGAGCTATGCCAAGAAAAGTTGTTACTCTTTGATACTGTCCTTGTTGCTCTTCAGTAGTAGTGCAGTGATTGAGTGCAGCCACACTCGAATATGAATTACGTCTATGAATATTTTTTAATTAGTATATCATCTTCATAAACTTGTTTATTCTGCTAGAGACTAATGAGTTTTTCTTTTCTTTTTTATCCAATTTGACACTATACTCTTATTATCAGTTCATACCATACTGGATGACAGGAGAATGTCATGCTATGTATGCAGTATCTATATCATTGCATGTGAACATGAAATATTTTGTGTCATTTTTCATGATGATTTTCTCAAAGGAGTAGGATGAGAAGGCACACACATAATGAGTTTCTATGGCAAAGAGATACCATACATAAACATTTTTCATTGTGTGAATGAAACACATTTATCAGCCACAATATCTCAGATGCGTAATCGATAAAAAGCCAAATAAAAATATTCTGAAACATTGGAAAGTTATTTTGAATGTAAAAACCTAAATTATGCAGTAATTTACTATTGAAACAGAGCTGCATTCTAATTCTAAAAAATGATCAATCTATTAGCTTGTATCTCAAATTTCAGATGAAAAAGGATGAAACTTTACTTTATTATGATCGCATGACACGGGCTGTTGATTGTTCAAAAGATCAGATTAAAAAACTACTATTTTCAGTTACTAGCGCTACGTCATGCCGCCACTTACCGATCAAAAGGATTCTAGTGGCTCCAGTTCGTAGAGTAAACATTTGTGGTTAAATGAGACGTCTTCCAGCACCGAGCGATGCTTTGATCAAAAGTTATGATAGTTTTCTTAGGAGTAGCAAAACGTGTGTCATACATTAGCGTCACTATATCTCAAAGGCAAATTTTCCAAAAAGTAATAGAAAAACTGTATCTGTACGTGTGCAGATTTCGCATGTGTAAATATTTGTAGAAAAGTACAGCAAGTTTTTCTGGAGTTCGACGTCCTCAGAAGAATGAACTTTTTGAATCTAATTCTAATTTTTTCGGAGAAGTTGAACTCTATTTTTGACTTTTTTAAGCCTCACGTTATTCGAAAAAGCAAAATACATAAAATTGGGTTCTGTCATTCTGCTGTCTTAGCTTCAATTTGAGATCAACTAAAGCTTCCTATTACTTTACCTGACCGAGAATTCCTGCAAACACAATTAGAATCATTTTGACTCATGTTTCGACCAGCATCTTATGAAAGTTGGTCGATGAAGCCTAAAAAATTATCATAACTATTCTGTGTAACTATTTCTCATTATGCTCAACATTTCCTGAAGTTTTTTCTCATAGCGAAATTTTGGTATTGAGACAAGTTTCTAACAAGAGGAACTTTAACATGATTTAAAAACACTTTTAACCGAATTATACGAACACGACATAAATGTTCATACTAACTTAATGTTGTTATTGACCAAGACAAACAAACAAAGTATGATATATTGAAGGTACATGTACTCAAACCTGAATTTAGAAATTCACAACAAAAAGTAAGGTTTAATTTGAAAATTATAGTAGACTTTCAAGATAAAAAGGTTCCACAAAATCTACTATTTTTTATCTCATTCATACAGTATAGACAGACACATCAAAAAGCTAACCAGTTAACAGTAGGACGTGTTCTCGTGGTGTAGTGGTTATCACATCTGCTTAACACGCAGAAGGTCCCAAGTTCGATACTTGGCGAGAACATTCTTTTTTTTGTTTGACTTTGCGCAGAGACAAAACATAAGGTTTTATTGAAAATTTTGGGATATTGATTCAGACCGCTTTGTTGATAAGTTCTGTAATAGTAGATTTATTTATGCAGGGTTATCTTCTAGTATCACCACACTGTTTGGCTGACTTGTCATATTTCTTGCAAGATTCTTGTCTTCTGGCATTTCATCTGAGAATCTTGTTATGTGATACATATTTTTATTTTAAGATTCCTGGTGGAAATTTCTGCTTTGTAACTTCAGTGAAAAAATTTTCACGAAAACAGGTCGAAATCAATAAAAAATTAAAATAGGAATCGTCTTACCTGATTCATTAAGACAAATTCAAAGATTCGTGTGTGAAATAGCAAGAGACAAAAATCTTGAAAAAACGCTGTCAAGAAAGTGGCCCAGTGATGTTATTCCAACAACTTTAGTAAAATATTAACCCGACTACTGTTCTAATGGGTAAACTAAGTATACACTAGCATAACGTGTTCTCGTGGTGTAGTGGTTATCACATCTGCTTAACACGCAGAAGGTCCCAAGTTCGATACTTGGCGAGAACATTCTTTTTTTTCTATATTTTACTTGAACTTTTTTTGATAATTTCATGAACATCCAATTTTTGCCATAATTATTTCTGTGCTTGGTAGAGTGACTGCTAGATAATTCATCGTATTACACCCGCAAAACAGAGAGAACAAAACTAAAACTGCTGCTATTACAAACATAGACGAAAAACCAACGAGGAAACCTTTCCAACTGCCCCCTCGTGTTTTGA